GGTATGAATACTTTTGCAAACCACTGTAAGTAGATTTTGTGTCAGAAATTTACTTTTGATACTTGAGTACAAAAAATATCAGACACTTTAAGACTTTTACTCAAGTAATATTTTTAGAGAAGACTTTAACTTTTACCAAAGTATTTTTATGATAAGATACTTGTACTTTTACTCAAGTAATATTTTTAGAGAAGACTTTAACTTTTACCAAAGTATTTTTATGATAAGATACTTGTACTTTTACTCAAGCATCACTTTGAGGTACTTTATACAACACTGAATATAGTGTAGATGAAAAATGTAAGTAGTTGTAACACATACCTACAGAGTGAAAATGAGCTCCAAAATAATCATGTAAAAATAACAAATTAAATGAGAGTCTGCATTTTTATTTTCAAGATTTGACCACAATGTCAACAACTTTGTTGTTTTCTCAGCATAAGATAGTTTTAGCCTGACACTTAGGCTTAAAAGGCAGCCATCGATGTGCATTCCTAGGCCTTTAAATAGTAAAATGGTTTACGCTAGTAAAAGCCTGTAGATGCATGCAAAGACGAAACATATCAAGTGTTTTCACGCTGAGAACAGAAAGCATCAAATTAGAGGTAAGAGGGTTGGGGTGTTGAGTTAACCACTACCTGTGCAACGTGGATAAACTTTGCGAAAACCTCAGCTCTCAGCTGAGCGGTCGGCCGGCTCAGCACCATCAACTGAACCCACTGGGAAATCCCATTACACAGGGCAATGGAACGCTCCAGCACAGGGATGTCCTTCATGCAGCAGCTTCGGATGTAATTTAGATAGTCTACAAACTGACAACAAAAGAAGAAGAAAGATGAAAAAAAGAAGCCCTGCATGTAAACTGTAAGGCAAATATTAAAGACAACCTATTTACACATGGAGTGCAGATACTCACTGATATTCTACAAAAGGATTTAAACTCCAGGTAGGTAAGATGCTCAGCCAGCTCACTGGGCTCCAGGTGATCGAAAAGAAGAGAAACTTTCCGCTTTTTACTGTAGTTTGGTTTATACTTCTGGCTAGCCTTCCATGATCGTTCTCGCTCATTTCTAAAACAGCAAGCATAACACACACACACACACACATACACATCAGGTAGGTTTAAACAAGAGTGGTAACTTTACAACCAAAAATTTTGTTTTTAGATTTCAGTGATGCCATATATGAATTTGGTSAGACATTCCTGAAAGTTATGCAGTTTGTGTAAAATTGTTGTGGAAAAATGCGATTGAGATGTCCTCCTTGAAGGCAAAAGAACTGTCGTAGCGATGAGGAGGTTTTTATCTATGTTTTGTCTTACTGACATGATTTGTTTAAATAGACACTTGGTCAATCTTAGTTTCGACAGATTAGAATGCTTTAAACTGTCTCATCCCTGGGATTAGAAGCTTAACATTTTTTTTGTTCAAAAAATAAAAAGAGTTAAAAATCCACAAGCCGGGTCTTTATTGCCTTGACAATCCGGTGGCAGCCGTGAGATTTCTTGCCTGGTTCTTGCACTCAAGCTGAAAACCTATGACCACAGCAAACAAGAATCTCCTTTACAAAAGGAAAAAGGGCTGAGGCGGCCTCAGCAAACAAGGCAGCAGAGTCAAAACTGGAATCTCCGCCTCTACAGGGCAGAAAGCTGTGAAGTGAGATGCTTGGTTTTGTCAAGCTATTTCCACAACAGAAACCAAAATGTAAACGAGTTTTCTGTTCACTGTCTGCGTTTCAAATCGTGAGTGGTTTCACGACTGCAGTAGAGTCGTGCAGGCGTCGTGTATCAGTTGGCCAGCTGGTAAGAGATTAACACTTACATCCATTTGGTCTCTAGGAGAGAGCAAAGACGCTCCTGTCCGTGCTCTCTGATCAAATCCCGGAACTCGTCCAGGCTGTCGGACAAGCTGTGGGGCAAGCGGAACATTATCCAGAATTCTTGAATCCAGTACCTGGTGATTAGAAACAATACCAATAAGACTCACAACAAAGTAACTCTTCAGTTCATCTCGGAAGATGTTAAGCTCACTAACCTGATAAGGTAGCATATCTTTTGGCACTCTGCTGGCTGCTCATCATCCAGCACTGTTTTAAATGTGAGGGCTCGTTAAGGAGGTGGCTTCAAAATATTAACCTGATTTTTCCGTAAAAGTCTTACAGGTTTAGAGTAAATAACAATGCAGGTGTGCTTTCTTACAAATAACTTGTTAATCCAAACCAAAACAACTGAACCAAAAGGCAAACACATGTGACATTTGGTCATGTGGGAGGAGGCGTCTGTATGAAGCACAACTCTGATGAGAATCACTGAATGAATCATTCTGGTATGCAGAGGAAAGTGAATAACAAAATGCACAATTATCATCGAAGACAATGCACAACAACTGCTGATATGACYTGTTTGATTTCAGAACTCCAGATGTGTTTTTTTATCAGATGCAATAAAAATATTTATCCACAACTTTGGTCACAATAACCTCCATTTTTCACAAAGAAATAACCCTTTCCACTGAGTTCATGTACAGTTATCAGAAACTAGCCTCTTACTACATGAATGAGTTTTTAAAAATAGCCCAACAGTATGGCTCTCAGCTGGCAGAAATCAGATTGAAGTGATGCACACATAAAGGGCTAATTGCGTCATGAGAACAGAAGATCCACCTACGCAATCCCAAGGCTAGACTGTGGTGAGTACTGTTAATGGCCCCCCAAGTTTTTTTCCCGATCCTGACCCACAGATTGAATTTGTTTGATGCGTCCTTTTAGATCTTTGGCACAAAACGAGAGGAGGTTAAAAATAGCGAAGGGGCACATGATGACGAGGGTTTGTGTCCGGGGCCTCTGTGTTTATATATAGATAATCGGTAGCAGGGGTAATTAACACCTGAAGCCCCAAGGCTGTTTGCAGGGAATGTAAGTTCCTCTGACAGGTCATGTGACACCAATGCAGTGTCCTAAATAGAAGCCTATGTTAGAGGCGCTCCACTCTAACCACAAAACCTAATAAAAATGTTTAAAGGGATCCCCGATTAGTTAAACATTTATTTTAACTGTAAAATAAAGACTGTAAAAATACTGTAGGCTGTTTAGTTTTGTAAATTTTTAAAAATATATTTTAACACAGATGGAGCCATTTTATTTACATGCAAAGTATTCTGGGTAAATGATGCCGTGGATAGGTCCTCGGTGTGAGCGAGCTATATCCACCCTGAAGGTTAATCTTGGACAATATCTGACGATCGGCTCTTTTAAATGAAACCAGAGAGCRTTGACAGAGAGGAGAAGGTAGAAATGACTCAGGCTGTAACTGAAAATATGGATGGAGGACAACAGAGCTGCTTCATGGAAGAAGAACCTCAGCTTAGCCTGTTAGCCTTTGCACTAGCGCTGACGCTATATTACCTTATATGTTATAGCTCACCATTAGCGCGACAAACTAACAAGCTAAACTGAGGTCCTCCATTCATATTTTCAGTTACAGGCTGAGTCATTTTTGTGTTCCCCTCTCTGTCATGTGGATGGAGGACCTCAGTGACAAGAGGAGAATGTGTAGCGCTGARCTAATACATATACAGTATATGGTGATAGCATTGGGGCTAGCGCTAAAGCTAACAGACTAAGCTGAGGTTCTTCCATGAAGCAGCTCTGTTGTCCTCCATCCATATTTTCAGTTACAGGCTGAATCATTTCTACCTTCTCCTCTCTGTCAACGCTCTCTGGTTTCATTTAAAAGAGTCAATCATCAGATATTGTCCAAGATTAACCTTCAGGGTGGATATAGCTCATTAGCAGCCTTGCACCGATGACCTATCCATGTCATCATTTACCCAGAATGCTTTGCRTGTAAATAAAATGGCCCCGTCCGTGTAATATATTTTTAAACTTTTAGTTTAAAAATGATAAAAAAACTAAACAGCCTACGGTATTTTTACAATCTTTATTTTTCAGTTAAAACATATGTTTCTCAAATAAACTCTAACGTTACTACTAATCATGGATCCCTTTAAAGCTTGAAAATGGGACAATAAAATAAATAAAATCAAACGTTTTAAAATGGAGATGAACAGAATGCTAATATACTGTCAGCAGCTTCAAAGTGAAGAAAAGTTAGATTGTGAAAGCAAAAATGGGTTAAGGAGGCTAAACGTAGGAGTTAACACAAACTGCCATTCGCCTATCACATTTTACACTGACAGCTGAGAGGTGCACCGCGAGCCAGCTTGACTGTCCGTTGCTGTTGACAACCAATCGAAAGCAGCAGGGACAGCGATCTGATCCCTTGTTCTGCGTGTGGCTCGAAATTGGCATTGTTTGAATCATGAGGCTGTGCTGTGAAAGCACTTCATAATGGACCGCTGAAGGATATAGACTGATGAGTTTGTCCAGCAGGTCACCGGAGGACATGAGGAGACGGTGCATGGTCAGAGTGATGTTCAGCAGGTGGCCGTTCTTCCTCACACCACCATCTGCGTCTGCAAGAGTAGAAATGTGCCAACAATTGTATTTATCCTCTTTGATCCAAAATATAAATACATGTCCTCCGTGACATAAGAGTTCCTTTGTTTTACCAACCCAGAGTCATATACCTGTCACATTATTATACAGCTGCCATATGAAAATGCCATAATAAAGACAGGCATGTTTACACTGAGTCATCAGATTAATGAACTCATTAAGCCGGCTGTTTTGACAGGTCTGGTGATAATCTGGTGAACAAATGAATGAATGRCTTTCACTCTTACCACATGCTTTTTTTCCACTGCTGATGTTTTGTTAAGTGCATGCAGTATAATTTAGAACCCAAAGTGTAGAAATTTGTGTTTGGTTGATGGTTTCTTTGTTGTAACAATGCTTCTTGGCAATAAGTCGTAAATTATTGGAAATAGTTTCCCTTTTAAATGGTGCCACATTTGTAAGGAACATGCAGTAGAGTATGCTGGCACATGAAAACTTTGCCAAATCTTCTCTGCCATTGAAAAACATCTCATTTTACTGGTGCTATTGATATTTGTCATGAGTTTCTAATATCCCCAGGTGCTGTCAATCAGAGACCCAATATAAGATTTATTCCCAAGAAGTGTTGTTACAACAAAGAAATAATCTACCAAACGCAACAGTTATAGTAAATCCCCTTACTTTTTGTGCCAAATCTATTAGGGTTTAGTGTTAGCTGAGACTGATAACACATTATGTGGCTGTATTTTAACACTGAAACAAGTTCATTTGAATAATTAAAACGTTGCATAACTCAATTCTTCTTGTTTTCCAAATAAAAGTTCCTAACTATTCACTTATTTCTTTTATTAGTTATTTTTGTTAAAGAGATAAAGGTTGACATCTTTGGGAGAGGTAGGGAGTAGCACGCGATGGGAGCAGGGGGCTCAGCTTAGCTTCAAATTAMAAAGGGGGCCTTTGAGAAAAAATGGGTTAGGTGAGATTAGTAAGACAATTGCGCTTTTTATTTATCCCATTGAGATCACAGATCTCTTTTTCAAGGGAGGCCTGGATCTGAAGGCAACCTGTTGTACATGTTTTTGGGGGGACTGGGGGAAAACAAAGTACCCAAAGAAAAACGAGGAGAACATGCAAACTCCATACAGAAAGACCGCAGGTCCAAACCAGGGGTCAAACCAAGGACCTTCTCGATGTGAGGCAACGGTGCTAACCACTGAGCCATCGTGCTGCTTGTTAAGACTTCTTGAAATAAGGTAAGATTCCAGACACATTTTTTTCTTAGTTTCAAAATAAGATCTAAAATACTTTCAGGCTGGATATAAGATTGACTTGGTTMGATTGAGAGTTTTCTGCACTTCATCACCATGCCTAAAATGAATGTCTGTGGTTTATACATGCATTTTTAGCCAAAATTTAAAAAAAAAAAAAACAAGAAACAAGAAAGGATGCCAAATTTCTTAAACTAAAAGTTCAATACGTCCAGTTTATTAAAAAGTAGAGACAAAAATGATAAAATCTCCTACAGATTTATTTAAACGATTATGTCAACTGGTTTCCATCAGCTGAACTGAGTAAAGTACCAGCTGACATAATTTTTAATTAAATCCACTATTTTTGAGTGTACATTGGTGCATGAACCACAGAGCTGCAGAAACTGTTCTTCTATATTGTGTTGAGAAAAATAAAACACCAAAACGTAAACTATAACAATGACTTAAACATATTTCATGTTCAAAAACATGATGTTTTCAACTCCTTGCATGTTTTTAGCTGAAATTTTGCCAAGCTGTATATTTTTCTGCCTGAATGGAAGATTTTGAAGGTTAATAGCTCTTTTTTTCAATAACTGTTAAAGTTTGTAGACTTGTTAAAATGTTAATAACCAACCTCACGTAAACATTAACAATTGGAGGATGGGCTAAACTTCCACTGGGTAGCTCATACCGATAAAGTGAACTGATGGACTCTGTAAAAGTCTTCCCCTTTTTTGTTCTCGAAAGGTTTGCACTCAAGTAGGAACATCCATTAACGAAATGTGCAGCAAACACCACTTCTACTAATTCTGAGCTAAAACCGTGACAGAGAATTTCCATCTGTGGAAATGATGTTTTGCCCATTTAGTTCAACAAGTGATCTCCAAAGACCTTTAGTCACACTGTTCATAAACCCTGCAGCGGAAGGTTTACCTTTTCCTCTTATTGTGTGAACCTCGACACTTGTTTTTCTCACTACCTTTTTCACTTCCTTTTTTTTTCCTTGCGTGTTCGTAACTTCCCCTTGTTCATGAACGGACCACCTTTGCTCATCACGGCCGTCTGACTTCCAGCTGACAACTTGAGAGAGCAATCTCTGTTGGCCACAACACAAGACTGAAACGTGACGCAACCCGTCGACACTAAATCCAACATGTGGCATCATAAAACCCGTTTCACTTCTCAAATAATGCGGCGTCAAAAAATCAAAAACCACGTAGAGCCGTGGTGGGGCTTTTTATGTAATGCTTTTCTTCCTCTGTAGTCAGTAGAAACTGAAAAACGATGTGTTGAAAATGTAAAAAACAACAATGGCGAATAAAAGCGTTGCCACTGCCTTGGCATCATCAAGGACACGAGGCATCCGAGGAACCACTTTTAAGCCACATTACCTTGAAAGTACCTCAGACACCATGGCAACATGCTTTCTTATCTTTGTTATCAGTAAGCAACTTGCCACTCCTGCTGCAGCTGACTAATCTCACCATATATAGATCAGGCTCTGTTCTATTTGCAACGAGCAACCGCTGTCATCCAAACCTTGTGAAGAATAATTACCTCATCAGGCCTAAAAAGGAAAAGAAAACACCAATAAAAAACTGCTTTCATTTGTGCACTAACTCTCCTTGAGGACGCACGTTTGTTTTTGATTTCTTCAACCCTTCACGGCGTCGACTCAGTCAAACTTATGATAGAAGCACAACAGGATGTCATGACTCTCCATCAGGTAAACAATTGCTTCATCCTTCTTTTCACAACATTCCAGTCACTAACACTCCCTGTGCAGGGTTAATTGCAGGAGGAAATCCTCTCTGGAGCGTCGGTTAGTTACTGGAACATTAGGAAAGCTTCCGCCCAGCGCGCTGGAACCACATGATACTGCGGGCCGATAAACACTTCAGAGGCCAACGCTTTGCCCGCTCAACTTTAAGGTTATCTCCATTCATCAGCCTCTCTGAAGCGACGCCTCACTGTTCCTTTGTTTTGAAAGGAGATACCTGAGTGGATGAGCCTTTTGTTTTGTTTTGGTCAGATTTCAGGAAAGATGGATGTTTGTCTGTAATCTGAGCAAAATCCTCCATTCTGAAGCAGAGCGCAGCTTTACAAATGTACAATATGCTGCTGGAGTGATTGTTAACTAACTGACAGAAGAACCTTTTGCAAAACATTTTAAAATCAGTAAAAGATAATAATAATAGCTGCAAGTATTAAACAAAAAATAAACCTAGATTTGAAATAGTAATCTGAAAAGTAGAGTAAATAGCTCACTGGATTGTTAGCTTCAACTAAATAACCAAGTTACAGTTGTTTTAATCAAACCTCATACAATAATGTGAAATTTCTCACTCAGAATGACTCTCAGCTACTACTTCATCAAATTTAGCTCAATTTCTGCAAAAATAATTAAATTACAGACATTTTTGTGTTTTTTAAAGTCAGTTGGCTTAAAATCTTGAATACGGATCACATTCAAAGCTACGTTCACGGATAATTTCAAAAAAMGTTTCTTTAAAATTCATGCGGTGGTTTGTAAAATATTTTGCTAACAGRCAGCGTTAACTTTAGTTAATGGTAAAAGTTTAACCAAAGATCTTTTGCAATAAACTAAAGCTCATCGGTGTCTGCTACTAAACCACACCAGATCTTTGATCAGTGTCTATGAAGTGAGGGTTATTATGACCCCCGCACGTGAAGCGTAAGCGGGAGTCATGTTGTTTTCGCACTGTTTTTTTTTTTTCTGTGATTTTTGGTCAACCGTAGCACAAAAACAGCTGCACCAATCAACATAAAATTTAGCAGGACTGTAGAAGATTTCGACCTACACTGCGCCAGCCAACAGTTTTACGATAGACCCCATATCTGAGGAGGGRGCTCCTTTCAAAGAGGGGGTGTCTGGACATGCAAAAATRCTTATAACTCAGAAACTGTTCAACATAGGAGCTTCAGATTTATTTTGTTGTTTAGCTCTGATGAAGCTCTATCCATCAGGCCCACCAATCAGTGCCCCCCCCCCCCCCGGACAACCAATTTATCTGAAAAAGTAGTATCTGGACATACAAAAACGGTCATAGCTCATTAACTATTAAACATAGAAGCTTCAGATTTTTTTTTTTTGGTTGTTTAGCTCTGATGAGGGGCTATCCATCAGGTCAATGTCAATGTCAATGTCCAATTTATTTGTACAGCACATTAACAACAAAAGCTGACCAAAGTGCTTCACAGTTCAGTCAAGACATCAAAAAACAAACAAATAATAGATGCAAATACAGAAACACAACATATGAAAAAGCTCTAACTGAACCTCCAAATCTTAAACATAAGCCAAAGAAAATAAATGGGTCTTCAGCAAAGATTTAAAAGCCTCAACAGTCTCTGCTGACCGAATATTAAGAGGTAAACTGTTCCACAGCTTTGGAGCAGCTATTGCAAAGGCCCGGTCACCTCTATATTTCAGTTTGGATCCATGGACATCTAACAGGAACTGATTGGTAGACCTGATTGCTCTGACTGGAGTGTAGCTGTTAAGAAGATCACATAAATATGAKGGGGCCAGACCATTAAAAACTTTAAAAGCCATCAATAAAATCATAAAATCAATTCTCAGGTGAACAGGAAGCCAATGTAGAGAAGCCAGGACCGAGGTTATGTGTTAATGCTTTTTAGTACCTGTTAAAAAACAAGGTCAACCAATGCGCCCCCCCCCCCCAAAAAAAAAAAAGACCTCCACCCAAACCACTACAATTTTGGGATGCATCTAGTAGCATGGCATTCATTAGGAATAAAGGCTTCTGAGTTCTGGTGCATTTGTGCGTGCGGGGGTCATAATGCTACCGCTATGCGGTATCTAGTTCAGAGTGTTATTGTCTTTTTAAAAATCTTTTCTAAAACCAGACAGGTGTGGCAGCCATCTTGGAAATTTACTTCAAAAGTTAATCAACTGCAGATGCACATCCAGTGACTGCTTAAACATTAAAAGACATTTTGGTGRCAGACTGACACATGAACATGGGTGGACGAAGGCAAATAGAAACCTTTGTTTTAGCGATTAAAACTATAAATAGAAGTGATTTTATAACTGCCATTTTAAGATTGTTCCACTTCAGAGAAACAATTATGGTTTGATGATAATAAAAAAGTAGAAATACACAATTATACAACTTTTTACGTGACTAAACTTTTAAAGCTTGTGGACAAGATTTTTTTTTTTTTACAAATTTCTTGTTTCTTTTTCTGTTTAAAGGAATAACCCATGCATTTTGTGAGTGCAGAGTGACTATGTCAGCAATTGATCCACACCTCGCAGCGCTCTGCATTTCAAAAGGCTGGTGGCCATCTGAGGGTTCCAGGTTTAGGAGGGGTGACCTTTCAGAAGCCGCTGCCACTGGGTAAATGTTTCAAACGAACGAGCACTCTCACATTTTAGAGAAAAGGTGGCAGGACTCGTGGACCCTGGGGGGTTCACGTGTGATGTGAGCCAGGATGAACTGCCGTTTTATCAAAGGCTGTTTAAGGAAAACCCCATTCATAGCACTGCACTGACAGGCAGATATCATCTCTTTCATTTCATGTCCAGAGCTCATGTTTTGCATACGGCCGTGACATTAAAAAGCATGCATTGTTCTGAGGTTTGCACGGTGCTGATCTACTGGGTTATCCTGCTCCTTCTCTAATAAACCTGGGCTGTCATTAGAGTCCACTTCTACTTTCCTACAGATAAATGTAGTTCTCAGATGTCTTTTTTTTCCTTAAACGTGAGGCCCATTCTAACACTTCTCTGCTTTTCCCTGCATTAGCGTAACCAGGCAACGACCATCTGAAAGCTGTCTCTTCAGAGATACAATCACCAGAACTCTGACAGCACCCCAGACAACTTGATTGAGCCAATGATCTTTGACTGATCCAACTACAGTCTACACAATCACTGCTGGCCACATTTTTTAAATCACTTTTCATTTTAAATGCACACCAAACAGGCCAGAAACAAACTTAAACCTCATCCACACCTTTGCTCCACAAGCATGCACAGCAGCAGGTTATTATTATTATTGTTTTTTCTCCCTTACCGAAACACTCCAAACAGGCTTGGATTAGTTCATTCCAGGTTGCTCCCTTGCTGAGGTGTCCCAGTGGCATCACCAATCTGCCCGGGGTGCTGTGGGCCGGAATGGGCTTGTGGAACCTGTTGGGACGGCCTGGAGGAGAAATTCTTGGCTTGTTGGAGGTGCATCCTGAACTCACCCTCCTGCAGAAACACAATAGAAGTGAAGGGGAGGGGCTGGAAAGCGTTTTGTAGAGAGAATCTGCTCCTTTTTTTTTTTTTCTTAGATCAAACTTCTGTATTGTACTTGTGATTTATTCATTGTTCTCGTTCCTTTGCCAAAGTCTTGTTTAAACCATTTAATTCGTTAACAAATATTGTGTTTAGTAGTTTTGGGCGTTTTAAGTCGAAGCCTAACGTRTCTGTGCGTAAAACACTTGGAGAACACTGTAGTTCGTGTTTTGGGACCCAAATTCTGAGTCATTTAGGGAAAAAATAAACAAATAACCAGAAGAATCGACTCTAATAAGCGCGCAGAATTTTTCCAAACACCGCGCGTCAGAAACTATTTTCTTTTTTAAAAAAGGAGAAAACGGGTCCGACTTACGCGTCTTCTTTCCCCTTCTCGTCCGTCGCCACGCTCTCGTTTTGGTTCTCTTTGGTTTGGCATCCCATGGCGAGGTACTGGGCGACGAGCGGCTGAACCAGGCTGTCCATCTGCGTCCTCCTCGATGGGAGCATTTCATGATCTCTGGGCTCGGCTCGGTGCGCCTCGGCTCCGCGCGCTCCGCGGCATTGCGCTGACTCGTCAGTGAACGTAACACGGTTCAGCTCCACGGCGCGTCTGTGAGTGGGCGGCAGCGCTGCTGCCGGGCATGTCACTCCCCTGACTCTGAATGGGGGCTCCGCTTTGAGCTTTACGATTTAAAAAGAAGAAGAAGGGGGGCCGGGGGGGATGCCGGACTGTTGGAACGCCAGCGAATAAAACAGCTGTTAAAATGTTTCACTGCAATTTAATGAAGAGCTTTCAAAATTTCATGAAGCTAAATAAATAAATAAATAAATAAATAAATAAATAAATAAATATCACATTGTATTAATAAAATAATAAAAATTTGTGAATGGTTGCCAAATATGGCTCAGGTTGGTTTGTTTTTTGTTTGTTTGTTTGTTTGTTTGTTTGTTTGTTTACTTGCAGAAACAGCTGAAGAGACTGCAAATAGGTCAACAGCAACGTCCATGGAAGAGTCGTTTGACACAGAGAAGTCTGACAATTACAATCGTGTTTTGATTTGTTGAGTAAATTGTGAAGATAAGCTTTCATTTGAGTGCTTTGTTTATATTGAGTGCATGCCCGCATTTCTGGCATTTCAAACTCCTTTAAACTGCATTGTTTGTCAGGATCCAGTTTTTAATGGTTGTTTCACACTTTGGAAGTCTTTAGTGATGCTCCTTAATGGTTTTATTTTCAACTGGGCTCACACAGAGAAYAAATACATGCTCCTTTTCAAAAGAGTGCCAAACAATATCCCCAAGCAGGATTATTTATTATGACTTTTTGTTTCTCCATTTGTAATGTTTCTTATGCTTTGTGGAGGATTTTATGTCAAACTTAGATTTTTTTCCCATAATATCATAGCTTGCTAAAAAAAAAATAATCGACAATATCAATTGAAACAAATAAACAAAAACATTTTAGGGATTTTTAACGCCTGTTCAATGCAGGACATAGAGTTGATAAGGAAAATGATGTTAAAAATACATTTATGTACCTCTGTGATAAAAAAACAATTAAGTCAAAGACTTGACGAGAATTTATGTTTGTACAAAYTGAGTTCTCCCCATGGTGGCACCTTATTGATTTAGGCTCATTCTGGAAACTTTCAGGGTTGTGATTCCTTCTTTGCTTTACTGTTTGTTCAGTCTGCAGAGCAGGAAAGGGTGGATCTTCCTTTAAAGATAAAACAGGTTGCAGGTTCTGTAATGGCGTGCCATTGCTGTGCTGTAGGTGGTCGAGAGATAAAGTCTTCAGCTTCAGACCTGGAGTTTTATCTTAAATTCACACAGTCATTATATTAAAATTTGGCWAAATGCTTATTTTATTGTCTGTTTTGTTTTAAGGCATTTAGAAACATTTTTCAAACCTTTCCAACATAGTTGGGCCTATTGAGTCAACTATTTTAACTTAACTTAAGAGCCTCATAAATGTCTTTGATGACTTGATACAATAAATGGTCTTGAAATGCATGCATTTGGCATCATTTAAGATTTCCTAAATTAATTGTGGTTAATAATCTGTGAAGCTGCAAATTCAAGCCTTTTACTTGACTTAAATTGAGGTGGAGGAACATCCTTCCCATGATTAGGTGTCTCCATGTGGCCAACAGTTCAGGTCTGTGTCCAGTGACAAAGTGATGTAACAAAAACTTATATTTACAGCTGTTTGATTTTGGTAAGACAGCAGTCTGTATAACCTTTTTCTGTCACTGCTGATTTCTTTGGTGCTTTAAGTCTGCCCCCATGTGGCATCTAAACAAAGTTATTTTTCCTGTGTTGTTTGTAGCCCTGTTTAATGGAAATGTACTGCCTAAAATGACTTGAGCAGGGAATGACAACACTGGTTATTGTTCCTTTTATTGATGATGGAAAAAGAGGAAACATTTGTGGATTTTTCTGAAACCAACATAWATTATCATTTGGCTCATCTGCGGATAAAACCAACATATTTGATGGTCTTATTGGCGTGACCTAACACAACTAYTCGATACTGCTATTTTGGAATATTAAACTGAATTTCATACCATAAAGCCCACCGCTAACTGCAATCCTCCTTATATTCGTTAGGGGGCACTAAAGAAACAATTATGATTGGTGCTTTCAAATTCATAGAAACAATGAGTACTCATTTATAAACACGCCTCTTTTGCTTCAAGCAAGATACGCTAGGAAATTTGTAGCCAAACATAAATATAAAATAAAACCAACATTTGTCATCTGTCTTTAATTCTTATGATTTTTTGCGTACAACATGTGTTTAAAATCAACAATAATGTCAAATTTAAAAGTAACGGAGAGTCTTTGAACGCAGCATTAAGTTACGCCTCGCGTTCTTGATGCTAACGCGAATAGCTACAACAAGCTAAAGCATGTGAGAAATTAGCTACCACTTGTGAGAGACGTAAGAAAATTAAAAGCAAACTAAAACCTACAACCTTGGTCTCAAAATGGTTGTGGACGACGTTCATTTCATGACTCTCCTGAAAGGAAAACGCCTCAAGCTGACGCTCAAGAGTTCGTCGTTTTTGGGGATTGTTCAACGAATCAATCCGAACAAAACGCTGGTTTTGGCGGACGGTTAGCAAACATATCGATAATTAAGTGTTGTTGCTGTTTTGTTGTTTTCTGTGTAAATAATAGGAAAATAACGTTTTGGAAAACTGTTTTTGTTTTAGTTAGTGGGAGCGATGGACGCAAAATTCCTGGAACCAAGCTGTTTTTTGGACATGAGATTCTGAATGGTAAACACCAAAGACAAGTCACTGAAATACTTTGTTGTCTAAATATCTAACCTGATTATTATTTTTAAATTAACTCTAAAGTGGAATTCGCAGACGAAGGAAGTGCTGACCTTGGGTGAGTGAGCTAAACTGTAATCACCTAGTTTTTGCAGTGGTGCTTGATGTCTATTTTGGAAATAAATTATGTGAAACTTCTGCAGAAACATTGAGCTCTATAGATCTGAAGGGCAGTTGAACGTAGAAAAGTGTCAGCCATACAGGAAGGCAATTGCATTGAGTGAGTTTAATTACAAATAAAAATGAGTATTTCTGCTTACTTTGAAAGAAAGCTGCTGTTCCATTTCAAGAGGTTTGTCTCTTGCAGTTGATGATGGTGAAGAAGATGAAGAGGAGGCCATCGACTATGTTGTCATTAATGAATTTCACCAGAAGTTTGGACCTGCTGTAAGTGGACTTGGTCACACATTTTGAGTTACATGAACCAGCTGGGTGCTTGATGATGTATGTGTTCACTGTACATAGTTAAATGTTAAATCTCAGGGGTTATCCTTTAGGTGGCACACATCAAAAAGCAGTATGTAATCGGCGTGGGGGGTGAAGGAGTCGAGATATACAAAAATGGAAGATTGTGCTGGCTGCAGGTTAGAACTTATGAACTTGTGACACTTTTTATTCTTACCCTGTTTGGTTCTTTTTTTTGTTTTCTTCCATTTCTTATCTCAGTAATGCATAACAAAATTACTTTTACTCACTAGATTGCTACAAAGTACAAGGTGTACTTGTTTGACATACTGCTACTTGGAACAAGGGCATTTAAGAATGGTCTCTCAATGATCCTGGAAAGTAAACACATATTGAAGGTGAGCATTAAGAACAAACTTGAAATCCTGATTAGTCACAGTGATGAGTAATGTACCATGCCTTGCATTTGTTACAGGTTATTCACGACTGCAGAGCCATCGCTGGATGTCTGTCTGCTCAGTTTGGAGTAAAACTTACCAATGTTTTTGACACTCAGGTGGGTGCATTGTTGCCTTTTTCACAAGTCAGCATGAGTCAAATTTAAAGTCTGTTGTTTTTTTTTTTTTTGCCAATTTGAAATGTTCTTTTTCACATGGACTAGTCATTGGCAATTGGGCTGCCACAAACGATTATTTTAATAATCGATTAATCACCGATTATTTATTCGATTAGTCGACTAATCGGATCATACGTTAATTGAATATAAAACATACAGCTTATCACGTCAGAATGCAGCTGCTATTGTATAACCATGGTTAGATTTTAGCTATATGCTAACTAAAAATAATTGCTGTGGAAGGCAAGTTCTGCTCTGTAGATATTGCACAGGTTTCTCTTTCATTTTCTTAAAATGATCCCACACTTTTGAGCTCTGTTGCTGGGTAGCCATGATACCAGAGCCTATCTGTATAATGTCTTGTGACGTCCACAGCCTACCTCGGTTACCACTACTGTGCATGTGTGTCAAGGACAGAAAGGCAGATGTGGCAGTGGAAGGTGTCAAAGCAGTTTGGAGAGAAAAACAAAGTAAATAAAAACAACAAAAAAAAGAAAACGATTAATCGATTATTAAATTAGTCATCGATTATTTTAATAATCGAGTAGTCGTCGATTAATCGATTAATCGTGGCAGCCCTAATTGGCAAAGAGATTGGTATTATTTCGTAAATTTGTCGCAAAGACACTGCCACCATTTCCAGGAAATGGTGTGGGAAAGTGTATCTACGCAGCCCGGCTGGAGAATATTGTATAAAAAAATCAGTCTTTAGTTCTTTGTATTTTGGTAAACTTATATTATTTTTATTTGTCTTTGTTTTAAGGTGGCAGATGTCATGTGCTTCTACTCAGAGACTGGAGGGTTCCTTCCTGACAGAGTCAGCACTTTCCATGAGGTGGCGGGTCTTTATTTGAAGTTGCCCTCCTCCAGGCTCTCTTCTCTTCAAATAAAGGCACAGCTCACCAAGGTACAACACACATTCTCCTTAGCAATGTTTTAATAAAATGTATCGATAATTACTGATCTGTACCTTTTTAGAACTGTTGAGTTGCCGACTGGATTTTCCTGAGATTAGGTTTGCTCTGGTCTGAGAGATGCWAGCTCACATTGGTGATCTGAGCAATTAGAGGACAGGTACACACTTGCTGTTTGTTGTGTTCCTCAAACTGTACCTCAACAGTTTCTATTATGTATGACACACTGCCAGGCTGTCAGACAGGTACTTTGCAATTAGGTGTGCTGGGTTTTGCAACTGTAATTTTACTCATATAAAACACATCAATATGAACACAAAGACCCACTGTTTACCACCAGAACATTTTATTGTAACAAGTGAGCGCTGCTGTTCACCTAAYGTGTCAGTGGTTTTAATTTTGTGTCCGATCAGTGCATTTGCATGTCCTGTAATAACTGAAGGGTCATTTTTGTAGGAGGAAATGGAGATGTGGTACAAACGGCCTTGCCCTGCACCGTTGCTGAAGGTGATGGCTTTATCGGTGATTCATCTACAGCCTCTGAGAATGGTGCTGCTAGACACACTGATGAATGACTATAGGACCCTGGTGGATTCCTACCTTAGCAACACCAACTATGAACCAGATGGACTAGAGCCTATCACTATGGTGAGTAAATGAGAAACAAATATAGCTTTAACCAAAAAACCTATAATTATTCCAGTAATGTTTGTATTACCAGACTGGAATCTAAAACTGATTTGTTTTGGTCAAAAACATTTCMGTTGAGAAACAAACTTTTTTTYCCAATTCATCTGCCTCTAAGCATGGTCATATTTCATTGAGGACATTGAGCAACCTAAACTGTTTGAAGCATTTCCACACAGATCTGGAGACAGTGAATCTACAGGGAGTGAAAGATACTGATGCAAGCCTGCACTKGTTGCTGTCTGGAAAACAAAACCTTCTCTCTTTCTTCACATAATCATCTCTTCCCTGTTCAGCAAGTCTATACATGTAGATCAGTGATATTTTTAGCAGAATTCATTACCAACTGGTGCACCGTATTTTAACACAATTCAAATGTGCTTCTAAAATACACATCAGGCATGGCTACAAAATGAGATGCCACAGCAGTAACAGATGTTACACACAGCTTTCATTGTTCATGGATCAACACAATGTCCCTTAGTTTACCACTTATAACCCCAGGATTATTATTAAACCATACCCTTAAATGATTTTCCAGTAATCACATTCACCTTACATTAGGGCTGTGYAATACATCGAAAATTTATCTTTATCACAATAACAGCCTGTTAAATATGCATACCGTAAAAAAACTGCATAAACTACAATAAATGGTCATCTAAAATGTTTACATTTATGTKTTTTGTCACTCAGACAGAAGCTTGAAGTATTTCATCAATCAAATGGAGCCCTTGATGTATTTGGSCAGTTGGATAGGTCTCTTCACATAAAAAAAAGTCATGCTGGAATGAAAATGATTAATATTTTTTGTTTTGTTATGTTTTTTGCTCTGAACCCAGAGCAGAAAGACATCAACACTGCTTACTTCAGTATTTGTTCATTTATAGCAAGTCATCACAATACAGTATTAAGCACTGTTATTGCACATTGTATGTTTTCCTAATATCATGCAGCTGTATCTTACATTATGATTTCATCACTGTAAAGGCCTCTACATACCTACATACTCCATCCAAACTGCCGAAATCTGCTTTCATTGTYGCAGTTTCATGACAAAAATTGTGGGATTTTGTTCACAGCTTTGAATCTTTTTTCCCTTCTTGTCACAACCCGCTGGGAGAACTTTTCATCCCCCATCCACACAAGAACCTACTGTGTGCTGGTTCAGAAGTTTGTGAAAGTGCTTGTTTATCCTGAATGTTCTCAGRTGCTGTATTTTGCTTCAACTAATAGCTTCTAGAATCTGACTTTTGCACCTAGAAGCAGACATTTGAATATGATTTAGATGATTTTTCTGTGAGTGCACACGACCCACGGGAGACACGACATTAACACCAGTTGTCATTTCATTCCTTGGCTTTAGCAGCTGAAGCTGCTAAAAAAATGACAGATTTTCTTTTCTGGRTCTCTGAGAGCAGGACTTCAGTCTTCAAACTCGTTAAGTTCTTTTTTTTTTTTTTTTTTACTTTTCGCTGTCATTTTAGTGAATGGCCACTTCCTGGTATGTGGAGCAGGAAACGTAGCCTTATATGGTGTTTTTGGCRTGGTAATTATGCTAATATCCTGTTCTAGTGCACGAGCACCTGAATACGAACAGGTGGCATTCATCAGTTTACGCAGCTCATTTACACACTTTTCCTGTAGATAGAAGAGTTTGTTGAATCTGACGTGGCAATGAACAAAAGTAAGAGAAATTTAAGAAAAGAATACGAAAATGTTTTTGCATGAGGCCCATTGTTTGCCCTTTGTATCAGCAGCTTCCATAACTGGCTTCATGTTGAGAACAATTTTACACTTTTTAGACGTTTAGAACAGGTGCTCATGTTGATAATTTTCCATGTTGCTTATATCACTTAGTAATGAAAACAAATCATTTTATTTTATTTTTTCACCCTGATTTGGCAAAACAAAGTTGTTTACAGTCAAGTCACATTTACCAGCTGTATTCATACATAACCCTGCAGATTGAAACAAGTCTTTTTTTATGTTTAGACTTGTGATGAGTTTAAATAAACATCGGTCTGTGGATTTTATAATTGAACAAAACTCAGCCCTGACATGTTTGCACTAGGCATGGGACGGTATGAAATTATGATGGTATGATAACCTTGGGCAAATATATCACGGTTTTGCGGTATGATGGTATTAGGATTACAGCTCTAAAGATTTTGTTTTGAAATTTGTATTTAAAAACTACAAAAGAAAATAACTTTTCTATTATCATATTCAACTTTAACTATCATTGGAAGCTGTTTTTAGACCTCAGAGGCTGAAATTTTATTTACCTGTTTGCATTTATACATGTGATTTTTAGCACCTAATGCAATTAGATTATCCTGATAAAGTTTACCTCTAATAGGATAACTGCTTTTCTATTGCTTTATTATACAGTATAAGACAAATCAGTGTATACTGCATGACTAGTCATTTAATTGAAGAAATATATTTCGTTGGAAGTTTTTATTGTAATGTGTTTTTAAATTTCAAAAGGGTTTTTGATGTAAAGATTATATAATTATATGCACACAAACAAGAAATCACAACTATGAATGTGTGTTTATGAAATGCACGTTCAGCTAACGAGCTACTCGGCTAAAGGAGGCATTCAGTTTTATCGTATTTCACTTAAAACTTATCAAATACACAATCCAACAACTCAAACAGTTTTGCAAACAAGTTGTGACCAGCGCATTAAGACACAGCAACGCGGTGATATGTTTCACAATCTGATGCTAACGTTAGCTTGTTCATTTCAAGATAGCATTAACTTTACCTGGAGATGCGATCATGTGTTGCCTCCACGGTCCACATTGCCGTCGTCTTTACAGCATCTTAAGTATTTTCATATAGTTGGATTTATTATTTTAGACAAGGGAAAAGTTGGGGGAACTCTGTTCTTCAACCACCACACAAACCCCGTGTCGGTATGACAGAAAGATTTAGTGGTTTTCAAACCATGATTTTTTTCATATCACGGTATACCTTGAAACCGGTATTCGGCCAATGCCTAGTTTGCAGTGTCAGTAATAATGAACCGTTCAGATTAGTGAGTAAATGTTCCATCTACCTGTATTCACAGGAAAGTACACTGGAGTTGCCCAAAGAGCTCAGGCAACTGGACGAAATGCATCTTGAGAGGCAGGAGTGGGCTAATAGCCACTACCCTGTCACAGAAGGTGGGCTGCTGGATCGCTTCAACCCACATCCTAAGTCAGAAACCCAGACCTCCCCTGCTGCAGAGGACCACAGCAGTACTCTGACTGAACCTGCTGATCAGACTTCATCACCTCAATCTGACCTTCCTCTTAACCAGCAAACCACAGCCAGCATGCCTTCTGTGGGTGTCCACACCTCTTCCAATCCACCAGCAGAGTCACTGTCCTCAGTCGTGATGTCCAACATCGAAGGAAATATGTCTGTGAATAGATTTCCCTCTGAAGGTCTGGACAAAGGATTAACGGGGGATCATGTGAATGGGATGGGAAGAGGATGGTTATTTAAGAAGGAGCAGCCAYCTTTACCTGTCTTACCATCTGTAGGACGAGGTTTCCTTCTCCAGAAAACATTGTCCCAGGATCCCAAAGAGAGCGTTTGTGACTTCAAAAGTCTGGACAGGCTGGAAATGGCTCCTAAAGCTACTAACCAGCCTGGATACCATAATGAGCAACCTAATGATAAACGTGTGGCAACTCCTCAACCCCTCTCACACTCACTGATCCAGTCGTTTCGGTCTTTCAGATGTTAAGACAACTCTYAGCCTACAAGCCCTTTAACCACAGTTGTTGTTAAACAATTTGTAATGTCCTGCATTGACCAGTAGATGGCAGTTGTTGCTCTTTTTTTGTAAAAACTTCACATCAGTCTTTGAGACATAAAGTCTGGGTACAAAAGAGGTGCTTTGACTTTGTAGTTCACTGAAGTTTAAACCGATGTTGCTTTCTTTATTTTTTATAATTATTTTTACAAAAGACATTCATTTATTCCTGTGTTTGGTGTTCTGTCTCTAAATGCTTTATTTAAACGTTAATTAATGGCATTCTGAGCATTTATGTAAATGAAAAGAAAAGCTATAAAGCTTGAGCAAAAATAAATGTTGAATATTTTTAGCATGCAATTGTCTTTTTAAATGTCTCTAACAGCTTAGGAATAAAAGTTTTGGCCTGTGGAAGAACAAAATGTGAACAACCCAAAACACATCCATTAAGGTATAACGTGCTYGACAACCTGTACAGCTTGGTTTCTGTGTTGCAGGTAATTTAATCAATGGAGGTAGGCACAGGCATCGATGGATCTACTGCTAATTGAGAATAAACATTGTTAGCTGACACTTTAATTGATTACTGATGTCTAAAGAACCCACTAGACTTGGCACGGTCGAACAACTCTACTCTCCAGCTTCACTCTGGCACAGTGCTGTATAATTGATTGCAGGTGGCAAGCGCTTGCCGTGGTCTTACAAAAGCTGATTTTTTTTTCCAATTTTGCAGCTTGAGGTGCTATAGATTTTGCATAGAAGCACTACATTGGTCTGGTTGCCTAGATCAACGAAGATCAAGATGGACACAACAATGCATCTTACAGCAGAAATGAGCCCTTTGTTTAATCACATTTTAACACTCGCTATCTGCACGCAAAGGCTTTGAGGCTTTGGGCCTTTCCAGAGCTTGAAAATCAAAAGCTTGAAAAAGATAACGTAAGATTTTGATTAATTGCAATGAAGGTTTTAAAGCCTTGCATCTCCTAGCAACCAGCTCCACCTCAGCTTCTGCCGAACACAATCCGATCCATATGTTTCCCTTAACCCTTTGGAACAGTTTCTCAGTTTACATACACATGCAGAGGCCCAGCAGGGAACAAAACTTTACTACATCCTAATGTACTTCGGCTTGTCTTTGAGCTGCTGCACTAAAATCGTTAAACGGTATCCTGCAACAACAGAAGCAGAACTTAATGCTGATTTTCCTGTATGGCAACAGCATGTTTTATATACAGTATTTGCATGAACCAGCATCATAATTGTTGACAAGTTGGGGTTTTGGGGGGGTGGGGTAGTGGTCTCTGTGGGGCCATGGAGGACAAGCTCCTGTCATTGACCACCAGATTGGAGCTCTTATTTTAGAGGACCTTGCATTTCCTCTCCGTCACAATAATGCCTTATGTGCTCCACTTCCTGTTTCTCAGGCCTGGGAGGAAGGAACCGTGAGCTTGTCACACGGTAGTCACAATTTCCTCTCAACCCAGCCTCCCCCTCCTGCCCCCACCTCCCCAAACTTCAGACAGTGTTATGTCCTTCAGAGGGGAAAGATGTCTGCACCTTTAGCATCATAGCAGGATGCGTCTGAGCTATTTTTGTGCTTGTGTCGGAAAGGTAGTGCACAGACATAAACACAAACTAGCATATCCAGCTGTGTTGATTTAGCATCCGAGAAAGGAGCTTCAACTGTCTAAGACCAGTTATTGTTTGGACGAATCAATATGTTGAAGGTGTACGGAAAGTGGGTCTGAATAATGATTCTCTTTTTAAAGTTATTTTTTGTTTTTGGAAAATTTCATCTGCTGTATATGTAAAATATGACAACTACAAAGTGTCAATGTTGGTGCCATTTACAAACCTGTCATTTGACAGGGAAAAAAAACAACAAAACTTTGTGCCAGACTGCTTTGCGGATCACCTGGGTTTGTGGCGCCCTCTGAACAGCACCCAAAACAAAGGTGTTGTGTCCCTCCCTCCCCACTGCCTTACAACTACAAAGAAGAGCATCACACACAATAAGCCAATGCTTGTGGGCAACCCTGCCTGCCTGATCTGGGTTAGGCTACAAATTTATTCATAATTAATAGGCTTTCGTTAATAATTAAAAGGTGGGATAATTCGCTAAAATAAAACACTCCCTTTAAACAGCACCTTGTTAAAGTGACATGCTGTTAGCTGGTTTGCACTCCTAAGCACATCATCAAATTTCACTGTTGGGTTTTGCTTACCAAGTGCATGTTCACATCATGGTACATTTATCTGGTGATGCTGAAATGTAGGAAACTTGTCCACTGGGTCCATCTTAATTGTATTATTGTGAGCTTTTTAAATTTGTCCTTTATGATTCGGTTCAGCCACGTCAACCTTTTTTCATTTGGAGCTTTCCTGTGGGATTCGGGCCCAGGTGGCATTCTGATTGACCTGATGAAAGAACATGATCTATAACCTGAGAAACAAACTATTATTCAGCAGTTCTTGTCCTCTCAACAAGTTCTGTGTATGTCAACAAAATATTGGCATATTCATTATTCATGAAACCATGTGTAATCTCTTTGTATTCATAATGAAGAAGGTATATAATCATATATCAGGTTCCATTAAGCCACTGAACTGTATCCCTGCTGTCAGTCTTCCATCTGTTGATACAAACCAATTGTTGAACCCTACTCCCCACCACCTTTCTTTTTTTCTCTCTCTCTCTTGTTACAAAATTACCCTCTTTTGCTTTCTTCAGGTCACATTCAACTGGAAAATTAACTTTTAATGTGGGAAAGCGCAACCTATCCAGATGGCTTCTTGAGTACACCAAAAATGAGAACAAAACACAGCATCAATATTTCAGCCAGCCCGCACTTAACGGCACGCACGCATCCCTGCAGTCAGGAAATCTTGTTCAGAAAAGACCCCTTGTGCAATTATTCAAGCACACAAACGCAGATGCCACAAAATATGGATCCTTAGGAACTGCTGTGCCGTGTTTACTCAGGCAGCGTGACGCGGCGAGACTGGGAGGGCCTCCCTGAAGGAATCGGCCTTGGTGACCTTCGGCTGGGGTAGAGGAGTACGGGCAGAGGATTACAGGTGGTGAAGCAGATAAAAATGAGGGTGGTGCATAGAAATCACATTGGCTGATGAGAATTTACATTTGAATTGATGCTCCACTTGGTTACATTATGAAATTTCAAGTCTACTTCTTAAAGGGTACACAAAATCCAATTTTTTAGCCGTTTAATGCTTTTTGGTGTACTTTGTGTGTCTAGGAGTGCAAAAAGTTTGATTTCTTAGTGCTGCGAAGATATTTTTATATTCTTTTTGGGTCATATTTTTCAACCCGTTTGATTTCTACTTTTTTTCTGAGCGATTATGTCCCATATTTGCAACGAAACTGACACATAAGGTCTGGACCAACTACAATATTGTCTTCATTTTTTCGCTATGAATCACATTCTGGCTCCAACATGGTAGGCTGGATGGACGTCTTCCAATATTTTAATTATTTTATAAAAACAAAAAAGCTTCTGCGTTGCTATATAGTCGTAAACCCCTTTATCAAACTAGAATGGACCGCTCTGGAAGCTGGAGGGGGGTTGTACGTGAAACAACTCATTTCGATTTAAAGACAAGAGACGGCATCAAAACGAGTTCAACCGAGGCACAGCTCAGAAAAGGGGTGAAAGAGAGACTTGTGGAGTTAAAATAAGGAGAAACTAAGACCAAATCATTACAGTTCCACATTACCCCAAGTGAATGATTTAAACATGATAAAAATCAAAAGCATGATAAAACCCCTTTAACTTCTGTTTGATAGTAACTTTAACAATTCAGCACAAACGACTCAAATGATTCATGAGAACTTAAGCTGGACAACACTGACTTTAAAACATCTTCAATTGATCCAAAATACTGCTGCTCTGAGAGAACAGATCATATTGTCCAATTTTAGCTTCTCTACCGGCTCCCTGTCAAATTCACAAGTAGAATTTGAAATCTTATTTCTAAGCTCTGAACAACCAAGTTCTATCTTATTGTTCCATGTTTTTTAAATTAAAATGTCATTTTTAGAGCTAATCCGACTGCGGTTCTGTCTAAGAAATAATGTCCGAGCATGTTAGCACTATATTAGGAATGAAAAAGAATCCCTATTTCTTTAAATCATTTTTTTAGAGGAAAAACCTCAGATTGCTAAAAGAAAGGATGGTTTTTATTTATTTTTTTTTAGTTACAATAATGGACACCCCACCCCCAGCTACAAATGTCTAATTAAAAAGACAGGCTATTGGGTGTTGGCAGGTTCCTTATAATTAAAGCCTGCATTGTTTAATGTTAGGGTGTGTACACAGATGAGGGCTGCTTGTAGTCACAGAGAGGGCCTGGGAGAAGATGGGGTGGAGCGGGCTCCCTGTGGTTGGCTGAATTAGCGCCCGATAGATCAGCCCGACAGCTGCTCTGTGAGCCTGGCACCCAAACAGTCCAGCACTGTGATGCTGCGTTGTCAGGGCCAACCAGCGGACCGTTGGAGGTGGAAACACCAGCCACACTCAACACAAACGCTTTCATCGTTTCGAGCTCTGCTTTTCAACTGGCTCGCCGTGCTTGCTTCGCTTATTGCACCAGCATTATTGGATTAGTTTGGGATTAAGTTTGATAATTAAAAAGGGCAAATTTAGTTCATGTCATTGGGGAAAATGTCGAAGCTGCGCTAAGATAGTTCAGCTGGGATAGCGAAACAAAAAAACAACAACAAAAAAAGCATGTTTTGTATTTTAAACTGTCAAATTATTGTTACATTTGCTTTTTTCCCAAAGACTCAAAGATATAACATTGATGTTCAAATCATTCACCTAAATGAGATGTTTTTAATTAAATTTAATCTGATTTCTCCACAAAAGCTCTTAATAGTAAATTAAAGGTTAAACACAAAGCAGTGCCATCTGTTACAACACCTGCATAATATGTCAGCCATGTGGACATTAAAAGATACTCAAAGCCTGATTTAAATAATGGGAAAGTTTCAGTTTAACATTAAATAGAACACGTTTGCACAGATTTTAAAGTTGATTTCTGATAAAAGGCATTTATCTGAGAGTTTTTGTGTGCCACATAGCTTAATACCTTAGTCAGTGATTCCCAAAGTTGGGGTCGGGACTCGCAATGGGGTCCCGAAACATCAAGATGGGGTCCTGAAAAAAAATTCTGAATTAATTATAGTAGAAAATAATAACTAACAACAATTGTTTTTCCCTTTTGCTGTTACAAAAGAGTAAGGTTAGTGTACTTAAAATGGACAAAAATAGCATAATAAATATTATTGCCATGTTCTTGTTTCTTTGACGTAAAAACAATATTTATCATCCAACCAG